GATGCTGAGATAAGTAAAATGTCAACAAAGCTAAAACCAAGAGGTCCCAGTTTGTAGCACGCCCGACTTTGAAACAACTTTCATGTGCGATTGCTTTGAAGTGCATAATGATTGCCAAGGTTGCCATAATTAAAGGTTCAACTAAATATGAAATAAATACAATGCATGAATAAAAAATAAAACAAAAAACAACTGCCGCCTTTGTTGCTCAGGATGCGCTGTGATGTGGAGAACTTTTTTTATTCACCAGTTATTCATTTAATTAATCTTTTAATCAATTGTTATATGCTTTTCTGTATAATTTTCTTCTGATGCTTTAGCTTCATTAACAACCATAGAGACTAAAGGTAATGTTTTGCTTGCATGCAGTCATCTGTAGAGTGGGTAAGCAGTGTCATTGAAAAGATGTAGGACGTTTTAGAAATGTAAAAGATGAAGGACACACTTCCAAAGTATTTCCGATGAAACATCGAATCATTTTCACACCACAGCGAAAGACTTTAGCTTTTTTTTCACGAAATATTTGATTTGGACAAATGAATTACAAGTTTTGGGCAAGTTAAAATCATTTGCAGATTATCGAATGGTTTTCTGAATGTTTTGGGAAATGCAACTTCAGAACTGAGAAATGTGCCAAAGAAACTGAGATAAACAACGACTGCACATTATTGCAAACTTAAGCTTTAATCAGCATTCTTAAGAAAGAAAGAATAAGACTGCATTCAGACATCCTGTGAAACAAAGTCTTCGAAAGGTCACTGTGATTTCAGCTTTTCCATTTACTCATGAAACCGCTACCCAGAAATGTTCGTCTGAAATTATAGCTTGTATTTCCAATCTTTTGGCTCGTCCCCCCCCCAAAAAAATCCTCCTTTTGCATGCTGTTTAAAGGCAATATGTGAATGGCTCGAAACTGATATCGTGAGCTTTGCTACATGTGAAAGTAAAGAGATGGAAAACAGTCTGTGTTTATCTAAAATTAATCTCACATGTTGTCATAAGAAAAACACCAAATCGCTTCTAATGCATTAAATTGTAGAAACAAAGGAGACAAGGCAATAACATATACTTAGAAATAAAACATTATATTTAAATTTTGTTGATCTACAGAAAAGAGAAAGAGAAATTGAATAACAAGCTCTATATAAAGGAAGGCCTATGAATAAATACATTTACCCATTTTATAATCATCTTAGTCTTTGAAGAGCTGGATTTGTTTATAGCTCAAAAACCTTTAAGGAAGGCTCCTAGAATTAATAATTTACCCCTGACTTTTGCAAACACTTGGAGCTTTCATTTTTCTCTCAAATCAAACTGATGTTTGTAAAAGAGTGAGGGCATACCATGAAACCGTTCCTGCAAGCGGCATCACACAGTAGATAACCTGGAAAAAGAGCCCAAGTTTTTGTCTCAGTAAACATTTTGATGCCGTCAGGGGACAAGTCCTTGTTTGGTTGCGTTCAAGCAAGACAGCTTAGCAATGCTGTCAATATATCAGTGTACTCTGTAAGTGTGAGTTTCGATGGTAACGACTGCAAATGAACAAGGCTGCCTGGTGCATTTTGAGTCATATGACAAAGTTACCCGTGTGTGGGAGATTGATTGCAAGAGATTGGATAAGATTCACATATGCCTTTCCTGCTTTTGCTGTAATTTGTCAACAGACGCTGTCACTGCGTTACAGAAGAGACTGTTTTGCAGCACTGTGAAGCACAAAGAAAAGTAAAGCAACACAGCTGACACATGCAAAAGCTACATTAGATACAGTCTTTTAATGGTGCGTTGCAAGCGAAAGAAATTGGTGACCCATCAAACTACGCTGCAATTCACAGTACGGCTCAGCTTGCAAAATTCTGCCTGGGAGTGGTACATTTTACATTTTACATGTTTCATTTATTTTATTTTTTTGGCCTTACCACTACTTTAAAGCTTTCTTTTTCCTGTCAGCAGGACATGTCTGCAGCACAGTCTAACAGAAATATGCAGAAATCATGTTCGACAGGTTAAGACAGTTTGTTTAGCCATGTTGCAATAGGTGGACCTTTTAGGATGTCAGACTATTCAACAGCCACTAAAATAGACTTCGATCAGCATGGGATAGGAATGTAGGAAACGTGCAATTTCCAATAAATCCTTGTATGCACAAGTGGTTATTTGATATTGTGATTAAACTGCTCACTGATTTGAGAAATAGACCAAAACGTTAAAAATGCTAAGAGAAATGGTATTAAACCCAACAAAGAGATGTTGCAATAAGATACCTGGAGCTCTGTTGCAACATTTTTTGTCATTCTAAACTGCTTTCTCACGTCTTTGTGCACTTAAACCAGCACTATGTAGAACCACTACATACGTAGAACTATACAAAATCGCACATCTCCGGTTTTCACATTCGGTTTTCACATTTAAATACGGCTGTGTTGCCCCACGCTGTGTGTGCCATTTGATGCCGCAGCTACAGACAGAAGAGTAAAAAGGCATCCATCCACTTGACTCAACAATGAGCTTAAACTTACTACATAATTCTGAGTGGGTTTACAGGAGTGGAGACAGATCATCTGGGGCAAATGGAGCAAAGTAAAAGCAGCTGGCTTCAGAAAAATTATGCAGTTAGAAATCCCAATTAATATGTGAGAAAA